GTTTTCATGAAGCTCTCTTCCTGTCCTTGTTGACGATGAGAGTCTTCTGTATGGAACCACACAGAGCAAGTCGTTGTGTTAATGTGTGAGTGTGTTTCAGTGTAAATGTTCTCTAAATCATGGCACAAAATCGTATAAAATATGTTTTGTGGCCCTTGAGAATGTGTATTATGCTTGCCATTCCTCTACCCCCCATTTCCTCCGAGTGGACACAATGGCTTTTGTGTATCACTCTTGAAAAGCTCAAGGATATGAACATTTTCCTGGCAGCTTCTATTGAGGAAGCACAGACAAAAATGGCTTGCTTATTGAGAGCAGCCAGCACTTCGTGTTGAAGAGTCAGTGTGATTCGCCAAGGGGTTGAAAACAATAACGCAAACAAGGGCACTGAACAAGTGGGTTTTAATGAAATGCTCCCATCAAGACAATACATTCTTCATGTTCTTTGTCTAGGCAGCTCTGCAAATCTTAACCCCTATCTCACTGTCTGTAGAATATTCACAAGACATAATCAGACACAACGTAAAAAATAATAAACATAAAGCATAGAAAAGTTAGCACTGCTTCACTGTCACAACTGAACACACCACCATCACTACTGCACCTCCTTCCTCGCAAGGACACTTAATTGAGATATCAAATATGGCTACTTTCCCCTTATGGGAAGGGCAGGTGACCCCTGCTGTGGCCTGGTTGGACAGCACCCAGGGAAAGGGCCGCGAGAGACCAGGGCTTGTGTTCAAGTATGTGTGTGTGCATGTGTCAGTGTTTATTGGGGAGTCGCAGCAGGAGACTTCCCATAATAATGCTGTCTGAGTGAGCATTGGGCCGCAACTGACGAAGAGGACCCCAGCTGTCACAGGGCCTAGCGGGGGGCTACAGTGGAACACACACACACACACACACACACACACACACACACACACACACACACACACACACACACACACACACACACACACACACACACACACACACACACACACACAGATGAACCCCAATGCACCTGCAACCCTGCCTGACATACAGTGAACACACAAAACAGCATGGATACACAGAGAACACAAGCACTAAACAAAACACACAGAAGTGTTTCAGAGCCATATCATTGCACCCCAAGTGCAGAGCCCCATGTGAAGAGGTGCAAAAATACAGAAATGCACAAGATGGTAAACATATACAGTAAGGATTCAAGGAGAAAGGAGAGCCCACTACTGTGGGAGAGACTTTCAGGAGAGTTGTGTTGCGCTTTGTTGCTGCTTGCATGCCTGTATCACAACTTCTTTAACCGTTTGAATTGTGTGTAAATTGTTGAGTATTGAGTATAGACAACTAAGTTCAGGGATTTTATTTTTGTATTTTCTTTACAAACATTTGTTTACGATTTTAATCTTCCAGAGTTCCACAACGTTCAATATTGTGTCCTCTTCTATTCGGTATCGATGTGCTTCTGTTTAAAGTGGAAGAGCTCCAATTTAGCAAATCAATGCCTTTTTACAGGTATAGAGTACAAAAGTTATTAAAAGCCTTATTTGGCTCCTAAGGGAGATGTGCAAGGCCTGATAAAAGGCAGATGCGTGAGGCAATGAAGGTTGATTTTTCTGTAGATCAGGTTGAATTTATATTGTTTAAGAAGGGCCAAAGCCCAAACACAGAAAGCTTGTTTTCATATATTCTCATGACTCACATGAAAAGAAATGATAGGCCAGTAGGGTAGTGTGAGAGGAAAGGGGAAGACCGTCCCTCTGATCGGTCTCATTTACACTACACAGAGACAGAATGGGAGAAAGAGAGCAAATTGAGAGAGGGAGGGATGCTGTGCTGGAGAGAAATTAAATCAGTGGCCAAATTATTGCATGATTGCCCATTCCCCTAAGACTCGGGCATCATTTGGTAGAAAGTGTCTAATAATTGGTTTTCGGACATGTCAGACACATGCAATTCCCCCTACTAATGGCTCTGTTTGGAAGAACTGGGCCTCCTGGGTCAGAGAAGGACACACAAAAGCCAGACGGCAAAAAGCGTCTACTGCCTTCTCCCTTTTTATTCTTCTCTCAGATAAATGAGTGAACAAGAGAGACACAGAGAAGTGGAGAGATAGCAAGAAGGAGAGAGTGTATGTGAGCGAAGAGGAAATGAAGTGGCAATAAGTGCAGCCAAAGGGGAAATGCTCTTCACCGTGAGTTTAATACATCAGACTGGGGATTTGGCAGCTCGCCACACAGCAATTGTTTACCTTTTTGCTCACTGGCTGCATCTGTTCTGTTTTGTAAACGGCACTAAACTATTCGCCCGTAAACACCGGAATCAATAACAACTGCTAAGGGAATTCCCTTATCCCGCCCCTCCCTCTCTTTTCCCCTCCTCTCTTCCCCATGTTTTCATCCCTTACCACCACCCCTTTCCCTTCCCCTAGATCTCCTCCTCTCTCCCCCTCTCGCTCTGTTCACTGCCAGTCAAGAGCAGCGTGTGTGTTTGTGTGAGAGAGAGAGAGAGAGAGAGGGTGCTGTGGAGCTGATGGTGTAACCCACAGGAGAGACTGACAAGGATAAGACTGATGGCTCGCCAAAAATACCTGCTCTGTTTGTTTGTTTTTCCTTCTGTGTTACATTGTTGTCATTGTTAAAAGCTACAAACTGAGACTGGCCACTGTAGACTTGCAGAGTTGGGTATTTTCCGACATTTCTTTTTACTATGTTCCTGCTCAATATGAAACAATAAAGCCCCCCCTTATCCACACACAGTTTCCAGTTTCAAAAATGTTGCTGAATGACATATGGCTTGACGTATGCTTGTTTTTCTTTTAGTGCCTATGATAAGATGCATACAACTTTTATGGTTATGACAGTAAACATTGATTTTCTTTTTCTTTATAAGAACACCATCACACTGTAATGTCATATGGGGAGCTCTTATATAAACACACTCATTTTACCCAGCTTTCAGCACCAGCTTTCAGCACCAGCTTTCAGCACCAGTCCTCCCTTATTGATTCTCAGTACATTGACCTTTGGTTGAACCCTTCTGCCTGTGAGTGCCCTTCCTCATTCTACTCTATGAGACATGTCATGCACTGCGCTATATGACACACCTGGGTGCTTTTAAGCACACCCTCTCCATCAGCCGGCTATGAGAGCCTCCATTTGGCCTCACTGTTGTGACAAAGGTATAATGAGGTTTAGATGGCTGTGTACTACACTGCTATGGCTATAGGGCTATTTGGCTAGGGAGTAGACTATAAATACCTATATAGCCTGGGCAGCATAGCTCGATGAGAGGCTGAGGCAGAGCATTGCTAAACATCAAGGTCATGTGCGACTACTTAGAGTGTGAGTTAGTGTGCATGTGAAACAGCCATTGGGTCACAGGTTGAGGGAATGAATGGTTACAAAGGAGAGAGGCAGAGATGATGCTCTGCAAAAAGGTGATTCTCCGGATGAAGTGCTGGTTAATGGTTACCCAGATGAATGCCCAGCGGAAGGTAGGATGGGGGGGTTGTAGTGATAGCTTTTTAGAAAATCCACTAGCTCTTTCTCTAATGTGTTTCAAGTCTGATCCGGTTTAGATTGTTTACTCCTGAGTTGGTGACAGCTTTCATTTTGCCCCACGCTGCAGCACGGAAAGCTGTGTTGACTTGCTGGTGACTTCAGAAATAGACCTGATTGTTGGTGCGTGCATGAATGTGCAAGCTGGAGAACGAGGCTGGCACGTGGGTGTCAGCTAGGTCACACATATACACATGCAGAACGAGGTAGTCTCTCTAGCTCAGACTCCCACTGGACACCATTACAGCGGAGCTGCAGATTCATGCAGCTTAATCACACATGCGCATACACACACACACACATACACATATACACATACACATACACACACACGCACAGTCTTACACACACCAAATAATTACACAGCTATTCACATGTGATTTCATACATGCATGCACACACACACACACACACACACTTGCACATAAATACATGTATACACTTTCACTTGCAAACACAAACAACTTGAGGTCAGAATATATTCCATGGTGACCACAGAGTCTGGCAATTATCCTGCAAGACTGACATGTGCAAATGTGTGTGAAAGTGTCTTCTACGAATCAAGTTACTCATAATGACCTGCATTACATGCACATAAACACACCCTGCCTACACAAACACACAACAACTCATCGACTCTCACTCATGTAAACAAACACACATGCCTACACATAGAGAGATTCAAACCTCATGCATGATTAAACCCGGCATCCTTGGGGACAGTGTGTGTCATATTGTCAGAATTTGTTAAACAATATAGCAAAATTACATCAGGATCCAGAGGCAATAATGTAACAATTATTGGAATAGGCCCCCCTCTTCTTTCTTTCCTTCCCAACGCTCAATCAACTCAGTGCTTTCAGAGTCAAGGCTAATACTGAGCTCATCCATTCCCCAATGCCTTTGCAGTGGAGGAGCTCATTTAAGCGGACACACAAAAGTATTTGTGCATGTGTCTGGGAGTATGGCAACGCATCTCCCAGCCGCCCATTCTCCAGCTTAATGCGGAACATCCCCCGGGTGATGGCTTTGGCAGCCTCCAAAATGGGAAATCCATATTTGCCGAGGGGTCATCGGCGGGTTAGGGGGAGAAAAGTTTTGTGCCGAGAGAAAAGGATGTGCATGTGTGACTTCTCGGGGAGCAAAGTTTTGCATATTTTCGCTGTCTCTTTGTTTATGCCGTGTATTGGGAAAACATGAATGGGTCGATATTTATAAGAGGCGTGCAAGGCAGAATGGGGGGGGGAAGGGGGGGAAGTGGTTTTCTGATGAGTGCATGTTGAATGGGATGTTGGGTTGAAAACCTAGTTTCATGTTGTTGTTTATTCCTTTACCAAACTGTAAACTGTAGTGCAGCGCTCACTTTCTCTCTCTGTCAGTCATACATTCAACAAGCATAGCAATGTTTATTTTCTTCTTCTTTTCTCTTGTACAACACCCCCGCCCATTTAACAGCACCAATGGAGCTTCCCATGAAAAGCAGGAGCTTCAGTTTAACCTCCCACCAGTTGAAAGCGTTGACCCTCCTGGCCTGCACCCTGCTGGGGTTTGAGAGGACGGTGATGGAGCTCGTCACTAATTTGACCTTCATTGACTGTACAGGAGAAACTCCCTCTGTGAAAGGTATGACTCATTTCCCCAAAATACACACATATTTCTGTACTGTACATATTAAAAATGTGTGTTTTTTTTTTAAATACAGGCAGACACTTTAAGGCTGATACAATATTATTTAGATGAAATATGCTTCAAATTAAATTTAAAAGCCGTACACATTTGACTATATATACCTCCAGTGTTTGTTTATGTGTAACAATGAGAAGAAGGTTCTAGAGAATTATTACATGAATCAAGTATTGAGTTGAATTTAGCTGAGATTTAAAAGACAACACTAAATAAATTGTAATTTAGATTTTTTTTGTATTATTATAATTATTTTGTAAATGTTTTGTGGGGTTGAATGGGGACTTGCACTCATGGAATTAGTATTACTCAAACTCAGGCTGCAGCTCAACGTGTGCCTCTCCTCCAGGCATCAATAGTCCAACTACACACCGACACACGCACACATTACAAATTCACACATTGTTACATGTTTAACGGGAAGTCTTAGTTGTTTCTGAAGAACATTTTATTTTAGTGATGAATTATCTTGGGTATTATATAAGCCCTTAGTATCCATTCCCTCTCTCACCTTTGAACTGCCGCTGTAGAGATGTTAAATGAAAGCTTTTGGTGCATGGAGTAATTTCCATAAAGGTTACATTTACAAAAACAAGACTTGCAGAAAGGCTCAATTTACAGAGAGGTAAACAGCCTTTAAAGGGCAGTTATCCAAATCATTAATTCCAGGCAATCAAACGGCTTAATTACCAGAAATTCATCAGATGGGCTTAAAGGTCAAAAAGTGATGCGCTTGCTGCTTCCTCCTTCTTCCATTCCACGCGGTCTTGTTCGGCTAAATTGCCTCGCCTGGGGTCTCACTCTTCGCCTTCTGATTAGGAAATTGTGGCCTTGATGTTCACGCTTTTTAATTGCACCCCAATTCAACATCCTGTATGCTTGTCTTCACGTCGCCCCCCCTACATTCCCCCGTCTCCCCACACATCCACACAATCTCCCCTCAAGGAATTACCCCATATGTGGTTGATGCTATCTGGGTTCAAATCAAATCTAAGCCCCAAATTTAGACTCGTAAAGCCGTCGCCATTAGCATTTACTGCCTTTTCTGCTCCCTCTAAGGCATTTACAGTCATACTCCGGTCAATGTCTCAATTGGCTAGTGGGGGAAAGATGGGAGCAATGCGACCCATATCGGGCTTTGAGTTATATACAGTTGCTTTCATTGTGTGTGACTGCAGTCGGCATCCAGTCAGGCCTTTAACACATAATATGATACAATAAACCATTTGTTGAATTGAAATATTCATACTAAATAATGTATATATTTGAAAGATGCTTCAAAATGCCACATTGCTTTTTATCTATAATTGAGTTTCTGTATCATTATTGCTCCCTTTTTAAAATGTCACTGACTTCATTTGAGAGCTTGACCAGAAACAGCAACTGTTTAATACCTTTTAAGACTTATTACATAATGTTTTCATTTAAAACATTTATTGGTCATTCAGGCATCTTGAAAAGGAATCGAGAGGATTTGGACATGACACCAGACTGCAAGAAATCCACATCAGAAACACTAATCCACACGCCAGAGGTAAGACTTGTTCATCTTTCCTTTGACATATTTTCTATTTCCTTCTTTTCAGCATTAAGACATGAATTGGCTGTTTTGCTGATCTCCTATTTTGCGGGCACAGGTTTTGGAGTTTGACTGGAGGTCAGCATTTAAGGGGCTGGTCCCTCACATGGCACATTGTGTTAAAGTGGTCCTGGATGAGGTTTGTTTCAGAAATCTAAAGCAGGAGGAGGAATTATATTCTTCAGGACACACCTCAATCCCCTTGAGCCGCACAAGAGGACACACTGCCATCCCTGCCGGAAACACACATCTCAGAGAAGATTCCTTCTACACCTACTCAGAGAGACAGACTCCTAGGATGACAGCAAAGGTATTTCTGGATTTAGATAGAAAAGATTGACATTTAGTCTGTCAATGTTGATTGGCTTAGGTTACATATCTGACAATTAATTGTAAGTAGTTGTTACTCTTTTAAAGATGTGTCTATGATGAATAGACTTTAGTTGTACTCAATGTGGGTGAACATCATTCAGGTCTGTAGGTGGGTTGTAGCCTTCAACGAGGATCATCTTGCAAGTTACTTTGAAAAAGGAGGTTGTAAAAAACATCTTCACCTCACCTTTTTTTTAACTCCTAATCGTATGATCTATAATCCTAGTAGGAGGTAAATAAAAACACAACATAGTATTGGATTGTGCCAACAATACCCGATTTACAGGTTTAAAGGTACGATCAATGCAATTGTATAAAAAATTTAAATCATAAACCACCTAAATTAATTGATATACCTTACATCTAAGGACAGAGGGTCCAATATGCTGTCGAGATTATAGAGACCATAGAGGTAAACTAGTTATTTGTGATATTATAATAAAAGTGTGCCTAAAGCATTTGTTTTCAACACTGTGCCCAAAGGCAGTATAGCATGCCCAAATATGCTTTACTGAAGCTGACACACTGAACTGTAACAGCACAGCTCAAAGTTAAAAAAGTCTGTAGCCTGGAGAGCAATTGTAAACACACACACACACACGCGCACACACATGCAATCAAACAAACACTCACACATATAACAGGATTAATACAAAGGCACTTGTGTGAACAATTAACTGAGCCTGACTTGTTAGTCCTCAGCCTCTGCATGAACATGTTGTGCCATACATACCGGTACCCCTGCCCTGCTCATCCTCCTTTATTACTTTCTGGCTGAACAATGCAAGTCTACACATCTTCCTGACCCAGGGAGATTAATGTTTTTTGTAGCCCCAGAGGAAAGCACCCTCTACAATAGAGAGCCCAAAGGATTTGGGCCTGACTCAGTTGACACCTTGGATCAGAGAGGGCCTTGGAAATACTCAGTATTACTTGAAGAGAGGACTCTGGGGACAAAAGAGAGCCAGGAGGAAACCAATAAGCACTATGGCTGATATTATAAGGGCTTGCTGGTGTGTGGAGACAGTCGTTGAGTAGGGGGAAGCAGAGTACATAGATGATAGAGGGATGTATCACAAAGGCAAAGAGGCTATAGTAGAGAGCAGGATAACGATGGGATAGTTTGAGAAAAGAGATAAGAAGAGAGGGCCTGGGAAATGGCAGAGAGAGGTGAAGTGGCCAGCAGAGATTGACTTTTCTCAGGAGGAAGACTTGTGTCTGATTTGAGACAAGACTTAGTATCCAACTCTACAAAGGTTCTCCAATGTTGCGAGATTAACCGGCATTTACTTACTTCTATTTAAAATGACATTGAGCTGTTTTTTCTTAATGATAGTCCTCATGAAACTCCCTGAAACCTTCTACAACTGTCATTCCTCTATCTTCTCTGCTACACTGCACTGACTGTGCAGACTTTTATCAAACTGCCTTACCTTGATTCTCTCCTCCTCCTCTTCCTCCTCCTCCCCCTCCCCCTCTCCCCTAGCCTTTTTACACTGACAGTATTTGTGGTTCTCATTGGTAACGAGTGTCAGAATTTGTCTGTGCTCAGGACCTGTACAACGTATTAATGTGTAGGTCAACGCTTCAAATATGAGAGCCTTTCAGCCAAAAGGTTATACATGCATGCATTTGCATTCAATAACACGGAGCTAGACAGATATTATATATATATTTTGATCCCCCCTTCCTTTTCTGATATATGCCCTAGTGTTTGAGCAGAGAGCAAATTACTGTACGAGACATAAGCATGAAATATGGCAGGTTCAAAGGCATTATGGTGGATCAATATTCCACACATTTATATTCATATGTTCATACCCCAATCCACGCTCCTTTTCATTTGAACCCTCTTCACTGTCTGCATTACCATACATATGCAGGCTGTGATGATGCTGTTCATCCATCAGAGTACTTTAGATGGTGTACTTTTTTATTGGCGGTCAGTTGTGTGTTGAATGCCAAATACACTCTGTTGAACCGCTTGAACTTGTCCTCTGTGAGAACCTGGGATTGAACTATCCTTGTTTGGGTAGGCCCTTCTAAACTAAATGCTACCTCTCTATTATAGCAACAGAAGTACATGTTCTGTACTCACACTTCACTCACGCCCTCACCTGCATGTTGAGTTCTACACTAGTCTGCCTACTCCAAATTCTAGACACACAGAAAAAGGCCTCCCTGCACTTAAAAACTTGATACAATCTTTCACCTTTCTGGGCTTTGATCTTAGCTAAGATTTCAGTCTGACTTCAGTGTGGATGCATGTGTGGTTGTTTCTGTGCGAGGCTGCATGTGAGGATAAATGTCTGCTCAGTGTGTGTGTTCGTGCCAATACTGTATGTGTATGAGATGCTTCTCCATGGCCTCTCCATCACCCTGGTAATGCTGAGTGTGTGCCTCTGCTTTCTCTCTCTCAAAGCTAAGCTCCTGATGACTACATACAGCCAGATATTGACTTAATTGTCTAAATGGCCATTGTTACCAGGCCTTTTAACCCCACTGGAAGCTTTTTAAGGAGGAAAGTGTGTAAAGAGATTGTGAAATTGTCAATTGTGTACACATGCTGGAGCCCTGATCTGACAGAATGTCGATCTTCCCAGTCAGCTCCTATAGTAGGTCTAGTAATAGAGTGCGTGACTCTAGATACAAGTAACACATGCTATGATTGATTGATTGATTAAACTGGCATGGACTTTTCTGAGTTATGGTGATTTTCTTCCCTTCAGTGTGACCTCTCCTGGTAGCTCTGAATATGTGACATGTGCTTTCTTTTAAGTTTTTTTTAAGAATCAGCCTGACCCATAACTCAAATGCATTGGTGTATAAATTTGGAGGTGAACCCACATACATATGTGACTCCATGGCACTTGCTTTATCGTATTTCACTGTTCACTCAATGTGATGAGGTCATTCTCTGCAGAAGTACAGGTATAAAATGTTTTCTTACATTTAAAACACTACTGTATATGCAAACCATGCAAATATTTTACACACACACACACACACACACACACACACACACACACACACACACACACACACACACACACACACACACACACACACACACACGCACACGCACACACACTAGAAGAATAATACTAATAATAATAATAATAATAGACTAGCATCAATATAGCAGTATTTAAAGCTTGCTGATTCACCATTTGCTTTCTTATAATGATCATTTTTCATTTTTTAGATACTAGCTGAATCCCAGACTGCTTATCTGTGTCTCAGCAAGAAAAAAAGCATGACTATTTTAAAGCGCCTTGATCAGTCAGTCTCACAGCCCCTGGAGAAGGGAAGGTGTAGGCAGCGCTGTTCCCAAAGGGGCTTTCTCCAGGACAAATGTGGATAAATGAGATAGGTCTTGGTTGTTTCTGTGGCAGTTTTAGAAAAATCTGTAGCTCTTATACATCACTGAAACAGCCCTTTCCGTTCCTCTTACTCACTCTTAACTCTGCCTGACCTTTTCTGTTCTTTCTTCTCAGCACGTCTGACTCCCCACCTCCTCATATGTGCTGTAACAATTCAGTTTGAATGTGGTTAACATGATGTGTGCTGTTATCAAATTAGACAAGAGCTGATGTTCTCTCAGAAGCGAAGGTTTTATATGACCTGATACCAATTATGCATGTTTCAGCAGCAAAGTTTGCGTGGAGGGCAAGTCTTCTGACATCTGTATTCTACATTTGCACTGATGTTTGCTTTTCAGCTATAATGCCTTGCGCAATGTTAGAGAAATATGCATGTGTAATACACAGCTCAGTCTTGTCATTCAGAGGAGTCCTCGCAAATGTTCTATTATTTATATATAATGAGATTGCTTTTTGATGTTTCTTTTCAGTTTTTCCTTTTACTGACATATCTCCCCTCTGTTATTGAGATCATCTTGTCTCATCTTTGCCTTCCTTTTCCCCTCAGTTTTGTGGAGCGATCATGACTGAGATGGATGCCTTACTACCCTTGGCAGCAGCCTGCAGAGACAGCTCTCTCCTTGAGGTGCGATCAACCTTTGTAGAAGCGTGTAGCAGGGCAGTGTTTGCCTTGCTAGGCCGTTTGCAGGAGAGGGCCCTGGAGGTACCATCCTCCGCACCCCTGAGGAACCTCCCTGCTCTGCTGGCCACTTGCATTTATGTGGAGCAACGACTGGAGCACTACCATGCCAGGCTGAAAGATTCAAATTCTACTGCGGCTAAAGTGTAAGGAGATGGTGTTTGCAGGTGTTGATATAATGGTGTGAGAGTATTTTTCATATCTCTGTGTATAAATCTATCTATGTATGTCTTTGTGAGTGATCTTGATTGCCTGCACTAATCAAAACAAACATGGAGATGAGCCCTGTTGTTGGAAAAAAGTACACATACATTTTTACAAAAACTTTAGACAGCATAAAGCTATGTCAAAGTAATCAGAAATGTTTTGTTTTCAACATAACCCATGACCTCATCTATATCATGCCTAATCAGTTCCAAGCTTCTGTCAACGGCCTGCTCAACAGATAATAAACTTAATTGCAGAAAACCGAAGTAACATTTTGAAACTATACATTTGAGATCAAGAGGAGTGGACCAGAGAGTAAGAAAGGAGTAGAAATGATTGACAGGAGTTAATGACACCCATATTGTGTCTACATCTGGTGAGTTTTTATGCCCCGTAATACCCCTTTAACCTCTGCTCTCCACACATCCCCCCTAAAGACATCCCCGGTGCCCTCGGTGCTCCTGTTGTCCCACCTTTGGCCCCTTGCACCCCTCCACCTGCACTTGCACCGTGCTCCCTCCGGTCATAAAGTACTTCCCTCTCTCTACACCATCCAGTCCCTCTGGTTTTAAGCCTCCTGCCCCCCTGTTAAACTCCTGCCAGTCTGGAAAGTATAAAAGCAGGCAGATTTAAAGGATATGAAATGTCACACTGAACTTTTAGAATAAATCATAATTTCTTTGATATATTCATTTCACATCATGTTTGTTTGATAGCTTGCTGAATATACAGCAGTCAATTATGCATCTGGATCACAGAATGTGCTCTGTGGATTTGTATACCATCGGCCCCTTTCTTCTTTCATATGATGCCATATGTAGTATAGATAATGTATTGTGATGTAATTACCTTTAAAGGTTTGTTTCTTTCCTCTATGCCTAGACCCCTGACCCTGCTGCCTATTCAGAAGTACAAAGAGACAGCGGAGGCCTTCAGGGAGCAGCTGACCAGTTACTGTATCCAGATTTGTTCCACCTGCATTTTTCAAGACGCAGAGAGTCACCACTGGGCTGACCCCCAACCTTTCTACGAGGTAAAGGGTCCCCACATTTCCCAAACATGTGTCTGGTTCAAATGTATTCCCCCCCAAAGACAACTTAAAAAAAAACATAACCACACCTCTTACATGATAAAGATTTTAAAACGATTTAGCTGTCTTCCTAAACTTAAGTTTTCTGGTATTTTAAATGTTCTCCCTATTTGAGAGTTAAATATTTATCTCGAAATAAAAAAAGACATATGTGACACATATGATGTGCAGTATTGCCATTCCCTTAATTGTAAAAAGTGGAAATTCCAGTGCCACTTGTCTTGGTAGGCTTGTTCTGTAGAGTTTGAGGAACTCTAGGAATTATACTCTGGAGATTTCTCTCTTATGCTTTTCATTCCCACAATAGACCTTTACCTCCCACTCTCCCTCTTCTAACCAAGCCTTCTACTCTGAGCTCCCTGAGAACATCTGTGGCTTCCATGCTGCCCCGGGGGCTCCTGGGATTCGACTGTCTGAAGTCTGCAGTCTACACTGGGACTGTCTGGAAACAGCATAGGGCCTCTGAAACTCCCCTACCTTTATGCCCTTAAACCAATCTAAACCTCCTCTCTCTTTCATACTTTACCCTGCTTTTGCCTTTTCCCCCCTTTGTTCCTCCTTCCTTCCCTGGGTCACTGGTGTCAGACAGACCTGCTGTGCGCAGGTGTGTGCTTCTCTTCAAGCATGCCCATGTGCATCTGTACAGATGAATGCATGCGTGAGTGTGCAGCAGCATCTAAGAATTTACGTTTCATTTGGTGTGTGTGTGTGTGTGTGTGTGTGTGTGTGTGTGTGTGTGTGTGTGTGTGTGTGTGTGTGTGGTATATATATGTTGTTCTATGCACCAGGATTCAATCTTCTGGATTCCTGGCCATGTTCTCATCTCTCGTAGAGCTCAGTGCAGCTCCGGAGACCCTTCTTGTACTTTGTTTTGTTATTTTACATGTAATGGACACATTGTGGTTGGATATTTACTATGGTATAATAACAGCAACAAGGTCAGTTAAGGTGATCAAAGGAAGTTCAGAACATTATTTTTGCTTCCTTCCTTTGCAGGATTTTCCGGGATTTTCCTTCAGAGCATACCGAGCCAATTGAGAGAACACAAAAAGCTGCTATGAGTTTCCAATTTTACTCCATCCTCAGTTTTCTGTCCCAGATACAGTCATCACTGCTGCCAGGCCATCATCTTTAACAGGAATTTGTCCATAGTTGACCTGGCTGGTTAAATAAGGTTTGACTTGAGTGAAGGGATTAAACAGTCAAAACCCACGTGTAGTTGTGGCTGCTCTTGGTTGGGATCCAACGTCTGTGCCTGCGTTTGCTCTGCTGAGTCCACAGGCGTAGGATGGCGGCCTAATCCCGGACATAGCGCTTGGTCACGCTCCCCATCAACCACCAATCCCTAAATGACTGGCTCCGGGGAAGAGAGGAAGGGAAATAAATGAGAGAAGGAAAATACAAGATAGATGAGGTGAAGTGGCAGGAAAATGAGAACTGACTGTGGGGAATGATGAGCTTGAAGACGTGAGGAAGTTTTGGATGTGTAAATATCTCCGCCACACACGCGCCTTCCTCTGGAAAAGTTCTTTTTTGAAGGTTAAACAGTAAAAGTAAAAGTAGGCGGTTTAATGAATGAATTATTCTATATATTTTTGCAAAGAGCTGCAGGATAGCAGGATAAGAATCTATTTTCCTCCATCTGTCCTCCCCCTCCCTGTCTGTCTTTCTTTAGTCTCAATCTCAGTTTGCAGAGAAGTTCTCGATTTCTCCCCTTCACTCTTTCTCTCGCTGTACATTTGAGCGTGCATGTGCGTGCAAGTGTGTGCCTGTAGTGATGTGTTCTCCAGTTCAGGACTTTAAAGTAGTCTAAAATCCCAGTGGGGGAAGAAACCCAGGTGCAGAGTGCAGGTGGCGTGACCACAGAGACATCCTGGTGTTGACAGACCTGCCTCTGTCTCTCCCTCTCTCTTTCTTCCCCTTCATGTTTTCTCTCTTACTCTCTTTCTTTCTTATATCTCCTTTCGCCTCTTGGTTTTCTCTGTTTTTCTTCACTGTCAATATCCATATCACAATATATCTTCATCATGTGTAACCCCCCACCATCCCCTCCTTGCCATCCACCTCTTTCTTCCACAGGGTGAGCGCTGTTCCTTCTCGGTGCAGATGTGGTTCTACTTCCTGTGTGGGCTCCGTAGCGACTTGTGGGCGATTCTCCCGGCAGAGATGGCCAAGGAGGTGCTGGGACAGGTGCTGTCTGAGACTTTACAGCTGCTGGTGCAAAGATATGCCAGGGCCCGTCCGTCGTACAAGAGACACCTGCAAATCAGGTACTCATCACGTGCCATACTGCCCAAGGTTATTTTCAAGTGAGATTTCTTGTCACCTTTTGTAATATAAAAGGGGGGGGGGGTTACCTATTTTTTAAAGGCGAAAAATAGTTATGACATCATAAAGTGGCCAAAATCTGATCAGCTCATTGTCAGACAGGTTTTTATATAAATGGATCAGGACAAAAAGTGAGCAAATCTTTTTTCCTGAAACTTTCAGAATATCTTTACACAGAGGGGACACGTTTATTTATAAAATACATGAACAAGTGGATTTTGCATAATAGGTGACCTTTAAGGTCACTATAATAATATACATAAAAAGTAATATACTTTATATTCTTTAGAAAACTGTTTCTTGATTTAATTTCTGAAAGATGTATGTACAAGTTTCATTTTCACAATATGGAAGAATTACCCTCTGGAGAGCCCACACATAATGGGATGATTACATTACATTACATGTCACTTGTTAGACGCTTTTATCCAAAGCAACTTACATACTCGATACTGTGGACAATCCCCACAGGAGCAATTTGGGGTGAAGTGTCTTGCTCAGGGACACTGCTGACTGCAGTGGGGTTTGAGCCTGTGACGCTCTGATCTGAACACCAGCGCACTATTCCACTGCGCCACACGACTCCTACGATAATGAAGGAAAAAACCTCACCACAAGTTATGTTAGCGTTAGCTTCATGGACTTCTTGTTCATGATGGCTTAACCACTGAGGTTCGTAGTTTATTTCTGACCTTGCAAACAGAAGTTGAGAAAGTATTTTTAATCTCAGCTTTCAACAAACCTGGACCAGAGGTGCTTGTATCTCAACAACTGATTGCAAGGTCAAGATTGAATTTCTAACCCCAGGAATTATATTCTATTTCTATCATCAATTATTTGTTGTTTTGCTGATAATTATAAATGAATTTTGATTGTATGTGCGACATCTTCTTTAACTACCTGTCTTACATATGTATTTGTATATCCAACATATACTGCACAATATATAGAAATGGCTATGAATTATGCTATCCTAAACTTCACCAGAACCTTTAGACAAAGCCCTACATTTCTCTCTCACTGTTGGCCCCTCAACTCCTGTGGGTCTTGTGGCGGAGGTGGTCTGACGTTGTGTTAGCTTGTCATAGACACACTCTCTGTACAGGCTCAGGGGTCATCTTCTCCATCCTCTTTCTACTCTTAGTAGCTGAAAGATGACAATGAACAGGCTAATATATGACACACAGCAAGAGGATGAGAGAATGACAGAATGAAGTGCATTTTACATGTGTAGCACCACAGGATGTCAACAAAAAGGCTGGTTTATGTTGCTTGGGGATGCATGTGTTTCTGGAGGGACAGTTGTAAAGTGTAAGGCTAGCCTAAACAGATGGTTTTTCAAAGCTTTTACAAGTTATCTATGTATATAACACTCACATGGGTACTCTTATGCTACCTCATTCCTCTTGTATCAGTCCATCTGTGTGTGTGTGTCTTACGATTCAGGCCATAGGAGGAGCATGAATGAAGAGATGAGAGATGATGAGCAGCTTTCCCCAATTTAGGAAACGGATTTAGGGATATATAAATGTAAAAGCCATGACTTTTATTGTGAAATCCAAATCCCTTAGTACACTGACTATAAATAACAGTTCAATCCCAATGGGGTTCTGTTATCTGACGGGCTGTACTATGAGGCTAATATGTCATGATAAATGGTGGATTCAGCCTTTGAAGACAGAAATGTTTGCATTCAGTTCTATTTCTCTCTCTTCATGTGTTCACATATTCCCTCTCATCTTATTCTTTTTCATCTATACATTTCCCTTTTCTGTTTCCCTCCTCGGTGTCTAAGATGTGACATTACAGCAGTGTTGCTGTATGTGGAGCAGCTTATGTGGAGTGTGTGTAAGAGTCCCGAGGCCTTGTGGCGCTCCAATCCTTCTTCAGCAATTGCCATAATAGCGGGCGGATCAGACTGGCCATACCAAATCCACAGCCTGTGTGAGCAACTCCTGACAGTCCTTGTCATTGTGACTGCACCGCTTTCTTTGCTGTATAGGTGGGCATACATTGTTATATTTGGGTAATTCAGCCTTGAAAACGACGCGCATAATTATTATCTAATGTCAATTATTATTTAATATTAATCTATTGAATAGAGGTACAGTAGTTGCCTTTTGAATCTTATGTCCTAATGGAACTTACATTTAGCCCTACATTTGCCTTAACATAAGTGGGCAACCAAATGTATTACATATGTAAAATACAAAAATACTATGCTTCAACGATATGTTTTAATGAAATCATTCCCTGAAGAAGTATGACCACCAACATAAAATTGAAGATGTCAAATTGCCTTTTGTGATCTCAATTTCTTCTAGGATGTTGATGAATAATCCTGGGAAAGAGTCCAAGCCTCAGCATGACAGCCCTGTTGTCCTTTGGCTAAACGCTATCAACCCTGACCTCTTCACAGAGGAGGCCATACGGTATGTAAAATACATACAGTAGGTTCACATTAGCATGTTCACACACAAACTCACTTGCATGCTCTGGTATTTCTTAGCCATCACACACACCTCCACCCACTGTATTGAGAACCATATGTGTGTGTGAGAGTTATAGCCGCATACTATATCTGTGGATATATAACCAGACTTACCCGTGGCCCAGGCCTTCAAGCAAGAGTTGCTGTGGTAATGTAACACAGATGCAAGCTGGGAAAGAACAAAATAATAAATAAACTACCGTAGTCGTTGACACTGATTTTGTTTATGTTGATGGTTGCTGAGGGCTTTACACATGAGGCGTCAACAGAGCACAGTGTGATGTGTGCATGAATGTGTACATGCATGCATACATGTGTGTCCAGTTACTGTTATGACCTCCAAGGTGCAGTCAATCACTCTCCCCCCTCACCCCTAACTCCACCTCCTCCCCTCTCATCTCCCCAATGCCAGAGGTGATGTCATTGCGTACTGATGGAGTACAAATCAAACTAACCTCAGTTCTCCTGCTCCTAAGTATTAGAGAGCTGAAATTAGTTTATTTTTATGACCTCTTATTTCTTTGCTCCAACCTCCTGCCTGCATGCGAAGGCGCCAGGGGGCCTGCCTGTGGCTTGGGGCCAAATCCACAGGTCCTCATCCAGGACTCTGCCTTTGCGGCCAGATCTCTCTCCAGCCTATTAGAATAAAACACATTGTTATGGTTATTAAATAAAACAATAATACAATCTCAAAGCACGTAAATAAATCATCCAGCATTACAAGCGAAATACAATCTTCTGAAGTCATGTATTCTGGCCTTATCATTTGTTACACACATTTAGGCTTTGCATTTTTTTCCCGTGTGTGTTTTGTAAGCTGACCCTGCGCTGTAGCTGGCTAGATTTATCAGAGCAGTTAAAAGAGGATTTCTTCTGGATTTGCGGTCCTAGTGACATCATAAATTGCACTGTCAGATTTAGGCATAGTTTTCCTCAGTCAAGCAGCAGGGTGCACCCTGCTCTAGCTTTCTGGCTCAAATGGAATGGTTAATTCTGGGCTGACTCCCCCTGAACCACCTCCCACCTCCTCGCTCTTCCGACAAACTCTGTCCATTCCTACCATTAGATTTTATTGAGATGTATAAAGTAATATGGAGGCACACACATGTCAGCATGCCTTCACACTTGCACACATACACAACCACAAGCACAGGCTCTGAAGGGCACACACACACACACACACACACACACACACACACACACACACACACACACACACACACACACACACACACACACACTTGCACACACACTCACCAAGGATACGGCTCATTACCCACAGCTGGCTGCAGCCTCTTGGTTATACAAAAGATGTAGGAGGGGGGTAATGCTGTATATTCATGTATTTGGCTGTCTCCCAAATGTTAATTTGGTTTTAGCTGGCCAAGATTAGAGCTAATTCCTTCCCGGTGCACGCTATAAGTAAACGAGAGTAAAGGCATTTGCAGACTTATATCAGGAGTGAGTGACACTAAAGGAAGTTACCATTGTAGCATAAACATAATTTCTACCCAGATTGTCATCAAAGGCAACTGTGATTTCAGTCTCTGTCTTTCACTTGTGAAGCTTTTTCCCTCCTTTGTTGTCTCTTGCGAAATGTACTGCTTTCTGAACACTCACCTGACACTGCAGAACTGTCAACTTTGTTTTCCTTTTTCCCACTCTCAGAGATGGCCTCGTGGGCCAGGCGGCCTCTCTGTGTCAGCTGAGGCTGCTGACCTCTGACCCAGGACACAATCCCAGGTTGCTTCTGCGAATGCTGCTGTACAGAGACTGTCACCTGCCCACAATACTCCTGGAGAACTCTTGTAAGTCTGTTTTTGTATTATATAGGAATGTGTCTGCATAAGTGGGTAAAGTGCAACGTGTGTGTGCAGTACATGCTTAGCTTTCAGGCACTTTAGTTAATTATTAGATATTTCCATTTTTATAACACTGGACCACAGAGTCAATCCCCCAGCGGCCATGAGTGGGATGGTGTTTACCGGTGTCTTAATTATGGTGCTCTAAGAGCCTAAACGAGTTTTACAGACCTTAGATGAGCTCTATCCATTTTATGAAGTTATCATCAGCATCTTTGTCATCATCATCATTTTCACCTTGGTCACCATCATCACTAAATCAATAGAGAGTAGTAATAAACACTCAACAGGCCCAGGCGGAGCACACACGCTGACCTTTAAAGATTTTCCCTTCCTTCTTCTCCCCTCCGCACTGGCAACAGTCTAACCTTTAAAGACTGTTGTGCACTCGCACATTAATTCACATTATAGCGACCTCATTAATAACAACTCTCACTGTCTTGTTCTCTTGCTCGGTCTGAGTCTGGCTCAGAGTCTCTGCAATGCTTCTCCCCGCACGCTGCCGTAAATCAACGCTGGAAGCGCTGACTCTCGCGTGTTATCACGGTGACGGGCTAATTAACCAGGAAGCAGACAGACAGAAGAAACAGCTTGACTGAACGCCTACACTCCAATAAGCCACTTCCCCATACTGTACATGTATATAATGGGTTCTTTCTTGGTGCTCTATTGATATGAATATGTGTAACTCACTAATAGAGGATAATTCAGTGAGTCACAAATTACCTTAATTGGACTCTACTACTTCCAGTTTATTTAGTGCGTTACAGAACTTGTTAAGGTCAGCCGCAGATTGAACAGGACAGTATTATTGACACTTTGTTTAGTTGACAGCACTTTTTCAACAGTGTGGTTGCTCTGTGATACATTTTTTAATACAAAAATCTGCCTTATCAAAGCATACTTACTTGCTAGAGAGCTAACAAGCTGGCTAAGTGACCCCCCTCTGTCTCATAATGAAATTGTAAGTATTTGCAAAAGGATAATTACTCCTCATCAAGTACACAACAAGTATTTTGCTAAATCAGATGATACAACAGGGTGCACAGAGACACACTATCACACACACACATCGCCTTTTTATAATCATCAGCATGTCTGCTTCCAATTACAGAGGTTTGCAGAGAGGGCCCTTGTGGCTGGTTGACTGGTTGTCCGGAAGATAAACAGGTGTATGTCTTGGCTATGTATCAAGGTTGGATAAGCTTTGAGACAGAGAGGGAGGGAAAGAGAGCCAGGAAAAATAAAAAAAAGGAACCGAGAAATCGACACAGAAACACCAACAAAAAGCAGAGTTAGTGTGTGCTGCATACATGGTGTATACTCCGAGATGTGCCAGCGCACTGTCATCAGTTCTTTAAGCCATCTTCTGCTCCATAATAGGATCATTACTGAAATGCCCCGAGTTAACATGCCATGCTCTCACCCCAAGTGTACATTTATGTTAGTCACCCCTGTTTCCTTGGAGCATTGTAGCCGCACCAGTGACATCATGAACACTTTTTTCCTTGAGGACCAATTACCGGAGAGGGAGAGGATGAGATAATAATAATAATGGGTTTAATTTATAACGCGCTTCATATCTGAGTTCAGATCCCGAAGTGCTACAAGCATTTAGCATGGAACAAAATAAAAACACAGTAGAATGAATAAGATGCAAGCATAACCCATATTATGCGGCCTAATAGTCTGATTGAAGGTCTGGTTGGTTGAGCACTTTTGAGTGTTATTAAGGCCCGGACACACTAAGCCGATTTTGGCCGTCGATGGGCATCAGGCCGACATTGAGCGTCGACACGCCCTACTCAGATTGGTGTGTCCCGCACCGTCGTGTCTGTTCAGCCGCGCCGACACCTTTTCGGCCGAAAACCCACTGATTCAACATGTCGAATCGGTGGGCAGTCGGCCAAAGGCTGTCGACAAAATAAATCACTCTGATTGGCTGTTCAGCTAGCGAATCAGTGCATCAGAAGCAAAACGGAAGTGAGGGACCCAAACAAACTATTAAGAAGGCAAATCTGAGATTTCTTTTAACTCGAGCTCTCGACACAGGTTGGGGAAAGCCCCATGAGCTTCTCGTTGTAGAGTGAAAATGGAACGCACACGCTATTTGTTGTTTGTTTATATCACGCAGTCTGTTCTTCTTCTCTTGGTTATCACGTCTGTCTTCCGGTTGTTGCCTCTTTTGAATGACGAATACACACTACCCCCTCGTGGTAAAAGATTTCCCCCCCATTCGATTTGTTCTAGAGCCGACCCTGCCCACACCGTCGTGTCTTTTCGGCCGTGCCGACACCTTTCGCCGCCGATTCGACTTGTTGAGTCGGCAAGTCGAATCAGCTGAAGTCTTTTCGACATGTCGAATCGGTAGGTTTTTGGCCAAAAAGGTGTCGGCACGGCCGAAAAGACACGACGGTGCGGGCAGGGTCGGCTCTAGAACGAATCGAATGGGGGGGAAATCATTTACCACGAGGGGGCATACACTGCCGTCAACAACCAACACACAAACACCAACGCAACTTCAATTTCAAAACATGTTGTAAAGTCTATCGTCTTTCACACACATTGCAGGGGTGTAGTGCTATTTTATAGCACACCTATGACTTGTGCATACATGCACGGTTGTGGCACGACCACCCAAAACAGAAACATATGGACATAGGCCACCATATAAAAAGTGTGCAAATGTATTTAGTATTCTATCCACTTGAACATCATTTAAGTGGGGGGTGGACCTCACCTCCTCTATGCGGGTCCGGGGGCTCCCCCGGCAAGATTTTTTTTTAAATATTGAAGTGAAGTACGGCTTTTTCGTGTGGCTGCCACGTGCCCGTCCCGAGCCGATATTCTGTGATGTCAGGTCTATATCCCTCTCCTTCCTTTATTATAAATGGTATCTGATGTCCCCCTCGCTCGTGTGTTACAGTGACATTTTGTTGTGTGTTTTTTCATGAAGACCGGATTGGTGTGAGACACAAGTAAGGTTATTTAATACTGTACATTTCGCAGAGTAGCACAAAATGTTATCAACAGTCCACCCACGCAATACACCTCACCGATACAAAATAGTCGTGTGTTATCAATCGTCTCTAATACCTCAATACGGTTATGTACGTCCATACACCATCCTGTAAGTAAAGTAGTTTTGCTTGTTTTGGTAATCTACCTTCACTAATACAGTTTATGTATTATTCGTTCTTCACATGTTTACATATCTTTTAGTACCAATAAGATGTGATAGGTGAAACGAAAGAAGTCATAATGTATCCAAGTTCACCCACCCTTGTCTACATATGAAATACCCCAGCCCGTCTCGCTGGGGAGGAGAATTAAAAACGAGAGTTCTGTAGCGGTGGTCTAACGTACGANTCGTAAAGTATCGCAAAAATTATTGTTTTGTTTTACTGAAAAATGTACTGCCCAACATTTTTGATTCTGATGCCTTTTAGTACTGCGGGAGACAATGGCCTGGTGTGTGTGTGTGTGTGTGTGTGTGTGTGTGTGTGTGTGTGTGTGTGTGTGTGTGTGTGTGTGTGTGTGTGTGTGTGTGTTTATGAACAGTAAGACAATTCTGTAGCCCCAGAGACAGGTTAGCAGACTTCCCTTGGTACTACGCCTGAACTGAAGTGAGCACAAAGACATGCAGGTGCAAGTTTCAGGCATTTACACACGTACACTACACACACATACACACACGTACACACACTTACACATGCACATCAGCGCTGCAGCTGATATATGCCCTTGGGGCTCCCCCTGCTTATCCTGTATAACCACACAAACACTACACACACAGACACACTTCTCTCACTCTCAATCTGTCTCTCTTTCTTTATCTCCTCCTTCTTTTCTGTTTTCTCAACTTTGTAAGATTTCTCTTGCGTTCTCTGGATTTCATTTTGCTTACCTGAAACCTCGTCCGGGCCACAAAGTACTGCATTCGGCGGAGGACTTTTACAGCTGATCTTTGGGCATGGGACAACCTGTGACAAAAAAGGAGACGGATTTAGTCAAAGAGAAACACTGATGGATGAGTCTACAGGCAATTCCTTCTTATGAAAAGTGGCTTATTTTCGAGAGAGGAGTTTAAAAAAAGACATCAAAGGCCGCAAACTCAAAGCCCAGTTTCAGTGGCTGTTGCTGCATTCAATAATCAATAAACAATGTGTGACTAACGCAAGAGCAAAACACATGGCCCGGAAATGAGAGCACACACACACACAAACAGGTATCGTTCATGTACACAAAAATACACATTTAACCCCTGACTGTATGTGTTGACACAGATGAACCCCTGCTCTCTATCAGCGCTCGCCTTATCTGTCACAACTATGATTGCAGAGTGAAACAGAAGGACTCTGTTTGCATTAAGAAGAATCCCAAAACACAAGTCCCTCGGCTCAGAGCTGCACATCTGTGTCAACAAAAGAGAAAACCCACTGGTATGGAGCTACACACTGAAACAGAAACCACTGGACGCAAACAACACACACGAAATACCACAGTGACTGTAAAGCATGCACTTGTGTTTGTTTTGTTAAAGAGGCTCTCTGTTCGCTGTGTGTTGGTGCGCATGTCATTTATTTGTCAGAAACCATGTCCTTGAAATGTGTGACAGCAGCATGTTTGTAAGATGTGTGCTATAAATAAATACATAAACAGGGCAATGTGTTGAGTGACTGGATTTCAGTGATCCATGTGATTAAAAAATACACAAATACTGTGTGCAGGCACAGATGGAAAACATTGTCGTTATTGTGAATTTGATAAAGACATACTGTTGTTTTATAATTTCACGGGAATGGCGGAAGTTCGAAACCACATCATACATTGAAAACACCCTGGTATTGATTTGACCATGAATAAATACCTAAAACAATTAAGTCATACCAATACATGATTTTGACAAATTCTGCACCTCATACGACCAGATGTTTTGTTCCCGCCCCAAAGCTAAGAGGCTAGACTTAAAATAAGAATAAAAACACTATTTCCATCCCATAATTTCAGTTGAAACTGATTCTGTTTATCATTAGGGTAGAAATGCATGGATGCTCTTAACCCAACTCATGGTGTCTGGGAAAAAAGCTTTCCAAGAGTGATGTTGAGTTGAGATCTAATAAAAGTTAGTTTCAGGGGTCAAAAGGTCAGAGGCGCCTGAATCAGTCCAAGTGCAGAAAGGGGGTGTGGTCGACAACATCAGAGTTCACCACACCCTTCAATACTGCCAGGCACAAGTGCACTATGTAAGAGTCTCTGTGGCAAAAATCACAAAAGGATTGAATTACTTTTGCACAAGTAAGACGAAAAGAGACCGTGTCATTCTCAAAGAAGCCGCAAAGGGTGAAGTACACCCCTAACTGCGCTGCCGAGCAAATAGCGCCCCTTTGTTCCTGTATTATTTGCACATATTCAAATGAGATAATAAGCATATTATTTGCAGCAAAAGGTTCCCCTTTCTATGCAAATGAGCCTCATTGATGTTTGCCCTACTGTTGTCCTGGCTGAAAACAACAATACCTTGCCACCTGGATAATTGCAATAATATGCAAAAAAAACATGCAAAAAAACATGCAAAAAACTTCAGCTTCAGAACTTCATAGCCGTGATGGAATAGTATTAACATTATCTTGATACATTTAGACCAGTGGTTCTCAACTGATCAGGCCTCGAGACCCACATTTTCCTTAGTCAATAGATCGCGAACCGACATTTTTAACCACTCAAATCTATTCAACGAAAAATCCTGCAGTAATCTATACGCTTTGCAGCATACTATATTAATTAAAGTGAAGTACAGTGCATATCCCTTATATCCCTTCACAGAACAAAAGAATGCTTTTAAAAAAGGTTTAATGAGATGATGGAATCAAAGCTGAACTGTATAACATAAAAAGGCACACATGCTGAAAACCCAACCCCAGAAGGGGGGTCAGGGGGGATTGTCCCCAAGGAGATTTTTTAAAATACTAACATATAAACTACCCATTCTGGTACACTCTGAGAAGAAAATAAATAAATCTATTACTACCCAACATATTAATAATATTTTATGCCATTTTGTTCTTCACTTTGTTCTGACATCTTGCTGCGAGAAGAGCAAAGAGGAGATAGTCTATGTGAAATAGTTTAAATTGTCGGTAAGGGTAGATCGCCCCCATTGTTCTGTGACCTGTCAATCATCAAACTGGGGGTCATGTCATTATGTGTTCATTTTTATCTGAAGTTGAACCCATGGATGTATAAAGAATAGTTCTACCGCAAAGTTATTCTCCTCGGGGATTTCCGGCTACAATCTTGATTCTGATTGGCCAGAAGACTCGAAAAAACATCAGCAAATATGTTTTATTGAGAAGATGATCACTACGTGACAGAAGTTTTCAAAACTGTTTATGGTCTCCGGTAATTTCAGTCCAACGCGTGGCCTTCAAAATAAAAGTTTGACTCCCCCCCTCCCCCCCCCCCCAAAAAAAAAAGGATTTTTTTTTTCACACATCTGTGACCCACTCGAAACGGTCCGTCGACCCACTTTGGTTTGCGACCACCAGTTGGAAACCACTGTCTGACACAACCTCGCTGAAATTACCCTACAACATAGTTATCGTTGAAAACTTGAATGTAATAATAAGGAGTATCGAATCGTGTGACTTATTTTACATATTTAATAGGATGATAACCTTTAATGTTTGGTAAACTGATTTTTCCATTAACACTAATGCCCTGAAATAAAATCTCTGTAAAATAACTTAAGATTTATCCAGTTGTATTCGTTAACGGACAATTGTTGCCATTTAAGATTTAAAAAAAGTTAAAGATAAAACAAAAAATAAAAAATATTTTTAATAAAATAAAAAGTTGAAGAAGAATTGATCTTAAATAAATAAATATATTGATGATAGTAATTTGATATAAATAATAGTCCACCAAACAATTTCATTTGATTACAAAACACTCTTGTAATATACGTTTGCATCAGGTAACGTCATGGTAAACATGTAGAATGCATAATCGGTTTGTAACACCCACTCCTCGCACCTTTAATAAAGCTTCAGATAGTTCAGATTTACATGACATGGAAAATGCTATATATAAGAACTTCATCATTTTATAAGGAAACAACAATATGGAACATTCAAGGGGCAAACGTTGACGATGGGACGTTGAGGGCTGTGAGATAATTATTAAAAAAAAGGAAGCACCTTGCACACAAATTACGTTTAGGGACTAATCTTTGCTGTTTTTCCTGGTGAATTACGCATAATTTATACTTCTTTGGAACTTAAATATCAGCAAAATAAAAATAAAAATCACTCTTTGGTTGGAAATGGTGAGTGTTAGACTTACATCATGTTTGTAAAATTATAACATGCGCTTATGTTTAAAGGGTTACAAGCGAAAATATTTTGACCCAGTGATCGTAAGGATGTATGTCAAGGTATTTGTTTATGGACCAGAATCATGTATATTCGTATATAATCATGGATACAAAAACTAAAAATAGACTTGTATAATATTGCCAGAAAAGTAATAAACAATTCTGAATGACATTGCTGCTCAGCGCTCAAACCAGGGATGTAATATAGACTTCTTTACATCACAAACACATCCTTTATGCCACATTTTAACATCTTTTTTCACAGGTATAGTTAAAAAGGGTTATCGCTGTTTGGCTTCGCTGTAATACATTTAGTGGGAAATGCGCTGATGCCGACACAACATTCCAGACCATCTTGTGGCTACGCACAAAATTCCTTTATTTGCACCTCTCTCCACATTGAACATAGCAGAAACTCCTGTTAAGCCATCAAAACGTTCAGGCCTTCGGTCCGGGAATCGGTGGTATACCTGTTTCTCATCAATAACTTCCAGGATTCCAGAGGATATCCCATCCCCTAATTCATCTACATTTAACAGGAAAGTCATGGGAGAAAATCTTCAGCTCAACAATCTTCAATGCTCCTTCCCATACCTTTCAANTTTTTTTAAATATTGAAGTTAAAAGCATCAATCTGGTGCACTTTGAGAGCAAAATTAAGAGATCTATGGATACATCTCTCAACACCCATATGAAACAGAACTGTAAACAGATTTTCTTTTTCTCTATGGATATTTTACAAATCACTCACTTTTTATTAATAACAACTTTATACTCATATTACCCTAACACACACAGAGCCGAGCTTGAATGAAACACAGAGACCCAGAAGTACTTGTTGTAGTACTGTATCATATTATTTTCTATGGCTTTACTGTATAATCAGTATAACAGATGAACAGATCACCACTGGGCTTTCATCTAAACACACAGCCACGTAATGACAACAAAACAAAGGTTGGGGGTCATTGGTCAAGCAACACACCAATCAAAGAGCAGCAGTGAGCCCACCTCAGGCTGTTTTTTATTTGTATTCTTTATTTCTGATTCATTTCACACCAACAACTTTTAGTGGAAACGTTTTCACTTATAATATTATAATAGAAAAAAAAATAAAACGGCAAAGTGGAAAGGCTTGCCCGCCCCGCGTTGGGGTATGTTATGGTGAAAGAAAAGGAGAGAGATGTAAACACTCAGAGATGGAGACAGGGAGATAGAGGATATCAGTTCTCATCTGGACCTTGAGTGGTGGCAGTGCTTTTTAGCTGCCTGTTATTTAGGTGGCTGATATTACTGTCTCGATAATGCAGCAGCTAATTTAGCCTAGTCATTTTAAAATAGTCCAGCATTAGTCAGACGAAGCCTCGCTGCCCTCCATCACAGCGCCCCCTCATTGACTGCTGCATTCCATATACTCTCCCATTCAAATAGCTGTCATCTCCCACACAGCAGACTGACAGACCGCTGGATGTCTGCCACCTCTGGAGCAATGGGCCTTTTCTCAGCAACCCCTGTCAACTTAACACACACACACACACACACACACACACACACACACACACACACACACACACACACACACACACACACACACACACACACACACACACACTTGTAAGTGCACAAAACACATACAGTATATAGACATCCATATGGTTTACACACGCACACACACCTCCATCCTCAGCCCTGTGCTCAGACAGCAACCCCCACAAGGACACCCTGTCAAAACCTCTTCCTTTTCACTTCCTGTCTCCATGTGCTGTGGGGCCTTTGAAATCTGTTCCTTTTTTTTTTTTTTTTCCTGGTCTATTTTTCTTCTCCATCTAACACAGATGTGTGTGTTTTTTTTTCTTCCCCTCCTATTTCACAATGCCTTTTGTTCACCCTTTCTGTTAACATGTGTCAGGTTGGCTAGCCTTGACATTTTCCAATGTGTTTTTGTATGAAGAAATCAATGCTGTTTCATAGAATATGGTTTTATATCTTTCACTACCTACATCCATAAGGTTGATATTTTCTGAATCGCAATTCAAAAAACACATTTTGAATTGTCACATTTTATACTCACCTACACACCCCCTAACTGAAAGTATGTGTGCATATGATATGACTAATCCTCTTCATCTCTTTCTGTATCCTGTTGTGTGTGTCAAGTATTCATGAATATTAAAGATTTCATAACTTCATTAGCATTTTGATTTCCCACACATTTATTTGTATTATGCACAAAAGTGTCTAACTGACTCAGTCTTTTTTTCTCAGATATTTGCCAAGAGAACAGCTTAGAAATGTCTACAGACAGCTGCAAGGCCGGAGATGACTTCATCGTTGCATTGTTCAAACTCTTCAGTTGCCTGAATAATGTTCCAAACGCCTTGACTCAGTCCCTTCAGCCATACCTGGAAAGGTCACGCATGTGGGAGCATCTCTACACGCTGGCAGGTAAAGTAGCAACCAACTGCTGCATAATGTTGCAGAACTGAAGTCCTGACTACAGACTTACCCTAACCTTAAGAGCTGCAGTACTGCCCTACTATGCATTGTCTGCTTCAAAACTCAATGTGTTTTTGTGTTGATAGAAAATATACACATACATTTTATTGACACTGTACTTTATATTTATTTTGTTCGGATTGTTACACAGCTGTGTCTTGCTTGGATAACAGCAAATGAATGTGGGTTACTGATTGAGAGACACTAAATACTCAGAAAATCTATTATAGATACGTTTAATACAAAAGTAAATCTGACCCAATTTCTTTTTTCTGAGGGCCAGTGTTGACATTGCATGCACGTGAGCTAAATCACGACTTAATATGCTTTTAGAGACTGCAATTACTCCCAAACTCTTCCTTTCTCTCCGCCTCTCTCTGGTACATGCTTTGATACAGAGCTTAATCAGAACTCCTGTGGAGTATGGAGCCCCTTTTGGTGGTGATTTTTATATCCTGGTTGAGTGGTAATTATTGTAGCATAAATTAGGGTGATTGAAGAAGAGTATTTGGATGGAGAAAGAGCAAGGGAGGGGTCGACAGAGGGAACAAACCAAAAAGAGATAGTGTAAGCCAGGGAGAAATTCTAAAAGTCATCCAATCATCATTTATCCTCACAGGGTAATTAGTTTAATTATTTGACTGTGCCAAATCTTTGTATTATAACTTTGGTTACAGGATACCCCCGGTGCCCCCATTTCTATTTAAACTGTTCAACTTGAGTTAACTTTCATAGATTATGTTGAGAGTTGACTATTTCTCCACTTACACTGAGGTTTCATCACACGGTAGCATGTTGTTTCGAATCAATACTCCAGTCAATACTGTAGCGGGCGGTATAAACTCTGAGAACCAAGTGACTTTGAAAAATAGGTCTAGGTCTCACCTGCCACAGAGCGCTTCTCCTTCGGAAAGCTATATCATTTTCTGTTCCGCTCACCTCTTTTCTATGGGTCTGAGGTCACACATTTGTTAGGCCTCCCTGGAGATTTCAGTGCACTTCCAGCGTCGTCACAGCACTATATCTCTCTGTTGTAGCCTTTGGTTTTACAGTCTACACTGTAGGAAGTTTATGGGTGCCATACAACTTCATGCTGTAGCTGCTCATCTTTCAATATGAGAGAGATATGAAAGGGCAGAGCGACAAAAGAAGAGCCTGGAAAACCTGGAAAAGCTAATACAACGTCTGCTGTCAGGCCACCTGGGTTTAATCGAGAACATCTGAATTTAACTTGACATTACTCGCTTTTAGTGCATATACTTCAACAGAATACCTTAGAAGTCTGTTGATGGACAAGTTCTTTATGTCTCCGTATTTTCCAATTGTTTGCAGAGGGGAGTCACCTATTCAGCGTGCTATGACTAGGGGCTATTGCATGTAACCCACTCTAATTTGGTAGCAATCATAAAACTTAATCTACCCTTCATTTTTATGTCAATATTATGGCATGTCGGTGGGTTTCTGACAAGTTTACAAGTCGAAACGTTTTATGATTTAAGACCTTGTATAGTATTAAAAAATTATTTTATTAGAACAGTATTAAATGTTCCTACATACAGTTGGAGGATTAGATTTTTTTATTGTGCACTGAGAGACTTCTTTGTATTACACGTCTTTTAAAATAATAAAAAAACAGGGTTTCCCGTAAAGCAGGCAACATTTTTGCTTATGGAATTCTACTTGACATCATATTCGGAAGGTTCATTTCTATTCATTCTTCTAAAGTGACTAGTGAGTTTTTCAGATGGTGGTCTCAAAAATAGGACATTGTACCATTGTAGGTCAACTGCACTTAACATTTTTCGTTTGTTAACCTGGTTGAGCAGAGGTGCTTTATTCCAAAGTAGTTAATCTTTCTTTGTGAAGTCACCTGTGTCTTCTTTTTCACTGGCTTTGGACCTTGCTACAGCATCACACTTGACACAGCCTTACATGAACCTGATGCTTGTTTACACACAGGAGAGATGTTTTATTTTTTTATTGCAGCAGCATAACAAAAAAGCATTGATGGATAGAAAGGTCTTTTAGCCTAACTTATTTAACCGCTGCATGTCTTTTACGGTTTCTCTCAGACACGACCCGGGCTGTACCTGTAGTGATCAGCTGTGTCCGAGCGATCGTTACAAAGTCTATCCACAGCATCCTGATAAACCTGGTCTCCATGGTGATTGGTTGGCAGGCCACAGAGGAGCCTAGTGGGGCCTTGTTTAAGCAAAATGTACCAGAGAGCATCCTAGCTAAAATACCCAAGGAGTGGAACTACACACCACTGGAAGCACGCGGAAAGGAGACTGCCACTAAGAGTACGTATGTTGGTTGTCACATTTTCAAATGAGCAATACAACATCTGGTGGTTGTTTTCAAAAGCTAACATTTCTTTCTCCTTCCAGCTGTCATATCTGTAACTATCCAAGCCTTATCCCTCATTTTCACCAACCTGCCCTTGGCCGTAGCATCCATACCTCTCCCCATCCGCTACCTCTTCCAAGTGGCAGAGAAACACCTCTCCCAGCATGCTCGGCAGCTGCGCTTAATGGGCCTGTTACTCTGGGCCCTGTTAGGCTGTCTGATCCAGGGCCTGGAGGACCCTGACACACTAGAAGAGATCAGTGGTCTGGCCCTCACCCGTGGGGCAAAGGAACCCCTGTCCCTGCTGGCTGAGTGCCTACAGGCTACCATGGGCATTCAACAGAAGGTAAATGATCCGGTCTTTGTACAGTAATAATGATAACAATACTATCTATAGTAACTAGCTGGATGTTTTTATTCAAAGTTGGTTAACTGAGAGCATAACACCAACCTGTTGTGTGATTAAAAACCCTGTTACTATCCTTTTAGGATATTGATGGTTGATTTAATGTGTGCCAACAATTCTGACTTATTAACCTTAATGGTCTGCTGTTTGTCTGACAGGGCGTTCCCAAACCAACAGTGCACAAAGTGCTGCAGACTCTGGAGGAGAAAAGACCAAAGTGGACCAACATGCAGCTGCAGAAAGCCCGCAAGCTCTGCTCAGACAGGTGAGAGGTCAGCTGCGTGGATTTAGCAAGAGGTGAAGGTCAGAATGGTATTGATGTCATTTATATAACATTTTCATGCATTCAGGAAAACACTATATTATGGCTATCCATCATTAGTCTCAATTGATATTGATTATTCATGTAGGGCTTCAACAAAAATTGAGGTATCATTTTTTGCAGATAATCTTGATGGTAAAAACAGCTTTTTATAAAGTGAATTTCCCAGTACATAATTTTAGTGATTTATCAATAGTAATTGAGATTGAAGGCTGATGAAGGAGGTGGTTCAAACTGATCAAACTGATCAAACTGACTGATGGTGTAGTAAACTACTTGACATTCAAAAGAGATACTGAATACAACAATGAAAAAAGAATGCAGCTCAGATATGCTTATTTTTAATTGAGCATTTAAATTCTGATGTATCGTATCATCAAGATCATTTTTCATGTTAAAGCTTCATGAGTAAGATCAATGAATCTCAGATGTGTTTGTTGTGGTAAATGATGGACATGTTGTCTGACTGAGTGGACTGCAGGCTGGAGTGATGGGAAAATAGCTTTCACTTTGGGCGGATCTGTGACCTTTGGCTCGCCGTTTTGTAGCTTGTTCCCAGAAAATGTGCCTCTGGTCGCTCACTTCATCATAACAAACTTTGGATACATCCATCCTCATAAAAAGGTGATTCAGTCCCGTACCACAACATGTAAAAATTAAGAGAATGAAATAGATAAAAACACTGATTAGATTACAGCCAGTTCTAGGAAATGCTGTATGTTCCAGTGACAGGAAGAAGGGCGAGATCGGGGGGGGTTAAAAGAGAAGAGATGGGCAATGGAGGGGTGCAGAGGGGGTTGAGTGGAAAAGTGAAAGAAGAGTGATTATGTATCACCTGTCGGAGGCATTCAGTGGGATCATTACTATTCATTAAACTAACCTTCACAGGGTAGTGACGCCTGGCTTGTAAACAATCAGAATACAGTGTCAGAAAGAGAGGGGGAGAGAGAAAGAGAGACACTGGTGTAATAACTCCAAAAAACTACTGGCACTCCACTCAAAGCAGCTCACACACACACACACACACACACACACACACACACACACACACACACACACACACACAGTACACCCCTCAACAAAGAACATTTGCCCCTTGCGAGCCCTCCCATCTCTGTCCCCTCATCCCACTTTGCCTCCTTCCTTTCCCAACTGCACCCCCCTCCCCACGCCACCCACCTTGTCTTTGCAAAGTAATTTGTAGAGGAGAAGATTATTGTTCTCCATCATGGTGACCCTGGCTGGGCTGACGGGATGCATACACAGATGAAGATGAATGCAGTTATTCCTTGGCGGAGGTCTGCCTCTTTCAGGGCACATTGGCCCTAATGACATGATTGATAGGCTGTCCCAAATCCGGAGGGGCCCTCATTAATCACCCCGCTGACTGAATCCAATCATCTGCTTCACCTGCACAGTGATGGACAGGAAAGGATACAGCACAGGTGCTGACACGGATGCACAGCCACCATCGTCGACAACACCACCGCCGGGCCGTCTGCAAAAGAATGAGGGGATGTTCATGGACGAGAGGGGACTCCTCTTCCTTTGCCACTCTCAATGTCAAGCAGCCAATGGCTGGCTGACAGGCGACACCGTTCCTGCCACCTTATAATTACAAAGGGGAAGAGAGAGAGAGCAGGAACAATGACAGGAAGTGTATGTGAAGGAAAGTTTTGATGGACGGTAGGGTGATATCCATCCATACAGGAAGGGCAGGAAAATGATGCAGGCGTCTGCCAGGGTTGGGGAATGTACATGCATAAGGACCTTGACACACAGTAACACACGCTTAAGAACACACACACCAATCACTTTTAGTGCCCAGCATACTTCGGTTAAAATTCCCCTACGTATGTATCTCATGAATGGAAATGAAAGCAGTAAAGTTATTGTGTTATCTAACCCTTTAATAATTTGGCTGTTTTTTTTACTTTCGTGCAAGCCTTAACTTGAATGGCCTGAACGTTTATTCCATTTTTTTTTTATTCCCAAGAATTGCATTTCAAAAAACCAAAAACAGATAATGAATTCTTATCTCAGGAGTCGTGTTTCAGTCAATTGTTTTTTGCAAATCCAAAATGGTGAAAATTGTACCCAAAATGATTCACTAAAGTAAAAAAGACTTTCTTAGCCAGAGGTGTAATAGAGATACAAGCTGACACACCCCTATTCCTGTTTCCTCTCTTTCCTCCATGCCTGATTTTTCTGTCTTTGTGTTTACTCTCTCATCTCCTGATTTTCCTATCTCTGTTTCTCTCCTAGTGTTTCTGAGCGAGGAAAGGAGAGCGGAGTCGCTGAACTGACTGAGCAGAAAATAGGCCTGATGCTGCTGGAGGTCTGCCACAAAGCAGGTGGCAGCAACTACCTGAGGCAGATCTATCACATCATCCAAGGCAATGAGGTAGGGAAGCACTCCCTCTCCCCAGCAATTAGGTGGCTGCTGGCCTGAGGCCGCAGGCTGTTCAGGAGGGGGAGACGGAGGGAAGGGGGCTGCTGCTTGTGTGCAGTCTGCTTGTTCTGATCTTCTGTTGTTCAGGTGACCTCAAGGGTGCAAACCTACAGTGGTTTCCTGTGTTATACTCTCACCACATGTAGAATAGAGGGAGCCGCATGGAGTTACCACATTCAGCATAGCACTCTTTGTAGGAGATCTGAGTGAGAAAGAGTTCTTAAAAAAAGTTTTCTAAGCTAAACTCTCTTCAGAGAAAAAAAAGTTGAACTGAACGAAATGTGCCCGAGTTAATTGAAACATATATATATATATACATAGAGGGCTGGTAAAACAAGTGGGTTAAAAAGAGGACTCCTGGAAATAAGTAAAAACGACATAAGAAGTGTAACATACAGAAACTTGCAGTTAACTGGTTCTATAACACCTCCTCGGGTATCTATTTAATTTCAATTAAATTCAAGTTTATATATATAGCCCAAAATCACAAATCCTATTTGTCTCAGAGGGCTTCACAAGTCAAGAAACAAGTCAATGTAACACTTCTTCTTTAGTTAAAATCAAACAAAAATGTCAATTATCTACAGCACACTACATTTACATCCCACAAACAATCTCCTGCTACTGTATATCACAAAGGCAATAATATCTAGACATTACCCACTGAATGACTTTTGGGCTTGTGTCTTAACATAATGGCTCTTAAAGAGGGAAAGATTATCAATAATGGGATGAGGCCTGCAATACTCTGTAAAAATATGACATTATAAAAGATCAAAACCATATTGTGGATTATTCCAATTTCCCAATACTTTCCAACTTCCCCACCCTGTCTCTGACATTCAGGCACAATGGTTCATACCGAGGACATAAACCTTTTGGAAAAGGTGATGAGCATGTACTCTCATTTTGAGGAAACGATTAATCATATTGTACATCGGTTGGAATTCATTGGCAAATATTAACGGGTAAGTCTCTGTTGGAGAAATGTTCAAGGCAAGGCAAGTTAATTTAGATAGCACTTATTAATAACAGAACAATTCAAAATTCTTTACACAAAACATTTATAGCATGGAAACAAAGCTTCGTGCAAGCGCAAAATAAAAAATGAATAGATTAAGAGCCAAGAGAATAGAACATGAAATCAAGCTAAAATTAAATGGGAATAAAAAATACAGTGCATCGTAATATTTAAATATCATATATTTTATTCACACTTCCAGAAGCTTAGAACTTCTCTTGCAGAATGCTATAAGAATCAATACAGTACTAATAGAGTTTTCTTAGCTGGGAAAAGTTGGGCTGATACTCATGTGTTTCTTAGAGACATGGTCCTCCTATAGACTAGTCTATTAGGACACAGTGTGGAATAACACACACATATACATTATTTTGCTGTTGTTGGAATCAATGAACAGCTATAACTCTGCGTAGCAATTGAATAGAATGTGAACAGGATTCCCAGGTAGGCTCTGAGTTACCCTCCTGCTAGCTCGAGTATCTCCACCGAGCCAAGGTCGACGCAAGAACACGAAGGTCAGGGAGAGACCAGGCTGGTGGTGAGGCGGGGGGGTAGGAGGTTCAGAGGCCATGTCCAGCTGACGGATGGGAATATAGTGAATTCACACCGGGATGCCCATGTACTGTACATACACACTTAAAGAGATGTACACATATGTTCCTGAAGATATTGGATTTTTTTTATACTTTTGTGAGGCTGATCAATTTGGATCTTGGAGAAATGGATTATGTTATGCTTTCATTTTGTCAGCAGTCCAACTAAATAATGAATATTGCAATAGTAAAGAAAAATCCTAATGTCTAGATGCTGAATGTCCTTCAGTGTGCTCCATGAATCTTTCAGTCTGAGAAAGTTTTGTTTTTAAAGTAACTTTTTTGCCTCATTTGGTCTCGGTTTGTCAACCTTTTTCTTCACAGAATATTTTCTGACAGTCTGTCAGTCATGATGTCTATTTCAACCTCCCTCTTCTCTGTCTCTTTTGGTGTTCCCCTCTCTCTTCACTTCCGCCATGGATATAGGAATTACTGATGTCAAACCTAAGTGGAAGCACAAATTCACCCAGTAATCCTCCTCACGTGGTGAACTTTGACCTTGGCTCTGAGAGTCGCATGGACCCCGACTGTTTCAACCCTCTCCACCAGTTTGATCATGTTGGCAAGAAGACGCTGGATCAGGTTTGTCAAGCAGCTTTAAGAGTTGTCATCACGTCTTTATTTGGTAGCAATTTTTGTTTTTTTACATTTATTCTACCTCTATGAAATGTATTTGATATTCTAGTGATCATTGGTGCAACTATGTGTCTTTCGACTTTGTACTGTGTGGATGTACTTTTGATGTGCAGGGTGGTGTCGTTTTTACTTCCTCCCAAGGCCACAAGCTTAATGTTGAAGGTTAGGAGCTGTTAGAGTCTCTAGTGAACTGGATACTGTGGCAATCTCTGAAGTTGTCAGGTCTTTCTGGGGCTCGGCTTTCCTATTCTCCATAGGTCGCTACCTTTTCCAAGCAGCAGTTAGACTAGCAGGAAGAAAAGAACGTTGAAAAGGTGAAAAGAATGTATAATGTTAAAGGATAGTGCAGTCTGAAAGTGCACTTCTTTGGAGCTTTGAACCGTATACCCTCTTACCCCAAACTATTCCCCAGGAGTGCCACCATGATGTTCAGTTAATTGTTAGATTTTCTTTTCAGTATAAAGAGGATAAGTTTAGCTAAAAGTGAGAGTTGTCAGCTTTCACCCGCCATGCTCCTCTTCTTTCAAGAGAAATACGACACAATCAACAAAAGCTTGTATTTTCTCAAGAAAGGCTTGTGTGTGTATTTTTATTTAAACACATATATAAGGATTAGATGTATACACACATTACATCCCTTGTAATGTAGCTCTGTTTGCTGCAATTGTTTTTCAAGAACAGACACGTTTTAATCCTCAGACTTGGCCTGTTTTCGGCTTATCACAGGAGGCTGCATAGCTTTGCATAGAAACACCCTATTAAGAGAATGATTAAAATGCCTTCTCCGCTTCAGGTGCCTGTGTTGTTTGTCAAATAAAATGGAGGGTGGAGGGGAAAAAAGTTACATCCATCAATCACCTACGAGGAAGGAGCTGAGAGGGGGGATGAATGTGGAGGGAACAAGTGGAGTTCTCCTCCTCTAGTCAATAAAACTAAGCCTGGAGTTAAGGTGACATTTTGGCAATCAAAGCAATCAGATTTTTATTTGCTTTCCCAATATGGTGCTAGTGCCAAGTGTGTTTGGGTTTGTTCGAATGCGTGTGTTTACAAAAAAGAGAGTAAGAAATGGAGGGAGAGGGGGGGTTGGCGGGGTGCCATTGAAGATGGTAAGAAAATAAAGCAGAGCAGCCACAAGAGTAACGACTCCCTCCCAAAATTGATTTATCTTTCTATAAATGATGGCTACATCCCCCCAAATGGATTTATAAATTAATTGCTGTCTTATTGGAATAAAAACCTTCTTGTGCGGACATGATTGATCGCCTGGTGTCGGTAGCCTGCGCTGAGGACCCCCCTCCTCCTTTGTTAGTGGGTCCCAGCTGGAGCAGTAATGCACTGATGGTATTAACCCTGATTAATAACTAACAATACCCTATCCTCATACATCAACAGAGTGCAGTGGTCGACTGGGCATGGGACTGGCCAAAAGTGCTGCCAGCCTATCAGGGCATGAGTCAGATCACCTTCAAAACTCTGCTGGCCAACAGGTAAAACACTCATTTCACTTAATAGACACATGTCCACTGACAGGGGGAAGGGCTTGCAAACACAAGTGTCTTTACATGTACACAATGAGGCGTTCATTTGGGACTCCGGAGGCAAATTTCCCTCCCTCTCCGAATTCCCTTTTGATTTAACTTCAGCTTAAGCACCAGTCATTTGGGATCGCGTAGCCTAGCTGCTCCTCATCATAGGTACAAACTTCCACTTTGTTCAAAGGCCAAGGGCTCATGTGTTGTTTACCATTGAGGATGAGCTTGAGAAAGAACGCTTTTGGAAAGTGTACTGGAGTGCCATAATACCCTGTGTGTGTGTTGAATCATGGGATCCTGTTTTTTGAATGCACATGTGGCTGACTGTTTGCATGGACAAAGTGTGTGCACATTTTGGTAATTGAGGTATGCCTTTTCTTCAGGCCTTGGAACAACCAGGAAGGTAGTAAAAGATTGAAACATTGGGGCTAGCTCAGAAGATGTTAGTACCACCTGATTCCGGATTTGTTTGCCCAGGTCCACCACTCCTTTCCCATCCTCCACCTCCCCCCCACTCTCCTGTTCTGCTTTGCAATGGGCATACATATTTATGCAAGTATGTGACACATATTAGATGGCAATTCTTCAGGCTGTTCCCTGTTCTCCATTCACAGCTGTCACGCTGCCAGCTATCAGGGAGCCATGGGGCTATTGCACCTTGTCTCCACGCCTACGCCCAATCCATTCTAAATCACCGCCATTGTAACACACATACACCTTTCTAACAAAGGGCAAGCTCTGCATCTGCCAAGGACACAGGTCTAATAAGGGTGAAGTATGCAGCTCTGTGCTGTGACGAGCTTTGTCGCCTTCATGCCTCTACCCCCTCTTCCCAAACACACACACACTCACACACACACACACTCCATTCTTCCTCCCCTTACATGATGCTTTGTTGCATGTTAAAACCGATACTGTCATTGCTTGAGTGAGCCAAATTAGTGTTGGGGCATACATGAATAGAAACCGAATGTAGTGGATATAAAGTCTGTTGGAGGAGAGAGGGGGGGGAAAAAACAGATTGGTCGCAGTTTGAAATAGTGACAGAGATCGAGAGCAGTCAATACTGCCATGGCACCAAAAAGTACGAGGAAGGATGGGAGTGGGAGGGGGTAAAGGTTATATAATTCACCCTAATCTCACAGTATCAAAGTGTCTGAGATTCTGCCATTTGCCTCATTAGCCTCCCTTTGTTGGGCCAGAGGAGCAGATTTCATGGAGGATTTGGAGAATGGCTTTGGTTCTGCATGAGACGCTTGCACAGAGCAGGAAGTTAGTTTCACGGCTGGCGACATGTAAGCTGTCAAAGTTTTCCTCAGATCCATCTCCGACTCAAAAATATCTCTCAAGCTATAGAAGACCATTCACGGGATAAGCGCACTGATGTTGGACCCACTGATCCATTTGTTAGTGCAGATAAGGATAATGCTTTCTGCATAACGGCAGACTGAAGTGCCCTCGGCTGTTTTCACAGAGGCTTCGCAACAATTGCTCTTTTACTCATTCCAGATGCTGGATAAACCAGAGGATATCAGCTTACACTTTTGTCCATGTTAATAATAATGACTCTGTCTTATACTGTATGAAAACACCTATCATTGTGACCTTGTTATGTTCTGTATATTCAGTCTTATGAGTATAAGTCTCCTTGAATGACTTCCCTTCTCTGTACATACTTTTTTTCCCCCACTCCCTTGACTGTGAGTTAGCAGTGTGGCCCATTGGCCTCCTATATATTGTTACAGTGGCAGGACAGTTATTGTGCCCAGGGTTTATATCACATTCTAATGGAGCAAGGCTATGAGTTAAGGGCGGTAGGCTTTTACACCAGGGCTGTTAAATCACTGTTCAGATGACTTCATTAGCAGAGGAGGACACATGCTGAGACACACACACACACACACACACACACACACACACACACACACACACACACACACACACACACACACACACACACACACACACACACACACACACACACACATTTTCACCCTGCTACCTTGACGATGTAGCCAGACAGGAGTGAGAGTGGATTTATACAGGTGTGTGTGTCCTTCTTTGTCACCTGTCACTTCAGTTCCCTCAGCACGATGGCTCATCCATCATCTGCAGATTGAGCTTTTCAGCAGAAACCAGACTGATTAATACCACCCTAGGACCCCCAGGGTTGACTGGCTGACTGGCTGACCTGACTTCCTGGCAGGCTGGAAGTTTGAATGGATAGATGGACAACTTGTGGGTGTGATAACTTTTAAGCCTGCTTATTTGCTGGCAGCTAAATGGCTGATTAACTGGGGCACTGCCTTGGTTAGGGTATGACTGTTCATATGGATGTAGCAAGCATGAATCAGTTGTGGATTAGTGACAGGCTGAATGGTGTTTTGACTGAATGGCTAGGTGGTTGACTAGCCTGTTGGCCTTTTTTGATGAATGGCAGCTAAAAAACCAGTTGGCTCCCAGTACACTTAATCTGTAAATGATCTTTCTCTAGCGAAACTATTAGCTAATGATTTCTGCTTTTCTACTTCATTGCCCCTTTTTTTTTTTAATAACTCCATCTTTATCTTCTAAACACCATCTTTCTCAAGTTAAATCCATTCAACTATCTTTTACAGATCGGATACTATGGTACTGTTGGCTTTTGAAAAAGGTGTACTACAGATATGCCATGTCAAACAGTATTCAATAATCAAGGGTCAGACCTCAATAGGACTACAGTACAGATGTACCAGCTCCTTTGTAATGAGTCCTTAGCAGCTTTAAAGCAAGGTTCCTTTCATGAAATGCCAAAATCAATGACATTACATATTCATGTTAATTATGTGCTTGACGTTTCACCTCGAAGAGATTGCGCATTGAAGGTTTTGTGTTAATTCTCATGATCTACAGATTTACTTCAAATGATGAGTTGTCATTTGCTGTAGAAGCCAGGAGTCAAAGTGCCAAGTGATTTAACTGAACCGAATAGTTCCTCTTCAAACACTGATCTATGGATAACTAATTTGCTTTGTCCTTGGTTACACTTTGAAATACCCTTTTCTTTAGCGAACACTTGTAACTATCACAGCAGATTTTTTTTACAGAACAGTGAAAAGCAAAACAACCCCTAGGTTGGAATTAACAGCAGCAATGCCGACCCATGTCCTTCATTAATTTGCTCATTTCGTTAAAAGGTCTTTATAAACTGGCTTTTATGTAATTTTTCTTTTCCATCCAAGGAAAATAGATCAAATCTTTGAAAAGGTATGAAATATTGCCACAGAGAAATGCCAAGGTGACTTTTTGAGACGCTTTCCTTGAGTCTGTATGTCAGAAGAGGTCCTCTGACCTGGTTGATAAGGGGTAGACAAGTATGAGGGATGAAGCTCGATGTGTCACAGGGCGGCTCCTCCATTCCATCATAAGGACCAAATATCATTCAAGGACATTCACACCAACATCCCTTTTGCTGGTCTACTGCTCCAGGTACTTCCTAGAACCAGCATGGGGCAGCAGACAATAAACATTGACCAACAGTAAAGTTTATATACTGTGTCTTGTGCGTTAACACATTTTCTCTTCTGAGTAAGAGCTAGTCATCACGATTTTATTTCACCCATTGTCAGTAAGAAAGAACTAACAGCATTGACCCATAGATTTGGTAGCTTAATATGTTAAGCTACACTGTAACTACGGAACACTAAAGCATTTCCTCCGCATTGTCTCATTGTTGCTGTTACCCCTCAGGTCCATAACAATAGCAGTTTGTGGAAAAATGCCAGTCTGTGGCATTCTCTTGCTTGAGCGGCTCCTTAAATTGCAGCGATAGACGCTTGTGCTTTCAGGAAGTGGGCAATCGCCATCTGTTCCTGGGCTCCGCCATATGGCAGGCCTTTTTCTCAGGGAATAAAATAAAAACAAATATGTCAGAATGTTCGTCTTCCTCCACGGACGCTGATCAACCTGGGGAGAAGCTGGATCTCAGTGTGTCTGGATTAATGGTCTTACTTTACGCTTCAGGGAATGAGGGAGTGCGTGCTTGCTGTTGGTGGAGCTGTGTGTGTGTGTGTGTGTGTGTGTGTGTGTGTGTGTGTGTGTGTGTGTGTGTGTGTGTGTGTGTGTGTGTGAGAGAGCATGAGTATGCCTGTTTGACGGTATGCACATGCTAATGCACATTTATGTACCTGGAAGTATCTCTGGAATCATTTATCTGCCTTAAAGGGTGATGTTACCGTACCATTTTGAGCAGTTGGTTGCCCTAGACTTGGAAGCATTAAACAACACAGGAGGAAAGAGCTTCAAGGTTAGCCAGAGTGACATTTCATGGCTGCCGCTGCCAAAGACACAAGACAAAATGCTCTCAAGCCATCATCAGGCTCTTCGTCTTTCGAGGCCAGAAATTCAAAAGACTTGTCACTTTTGAAAATCAGGAGAGTGTGATGTGTCATTGAGGAAGGGCTTCTTTCTTCTCTCGTCGATCCCCTTGTGTGTGTCCCCTCCACTGACTGACAGCTAGGGATGGGAGTTTGTGTTGGTGGAGACAGAATACATCTTTTGTCTGCTTGGTTATACATGGTGTGTTTTGTCTTCGCTACCCCTGGACAGCACTGACACATTGAGGTTTTCATTAGCCGTAAGCAGGTGGTGAAGGAGAGGGGCGAGCTTTTGTGCACGAGTCTGCTTCAGAGCCCGTCTGTGTGCGTACGCATCTGCACTGCACCAACGCGTACACTGTATGCATATCATGGAGGGCGTACATGTGTCTGCCTGCATGCGTGTGGATGTTCGCTCTTATATTTCAGTGTGTGATATTTGGAGGTTTGCTCCAAAGGCGAATAAATCAGTGATGCCTGGGATAAGGCCGTGGCCCCTCCTCAAACTGCACAGACAAGCTGAGAGGCTCATTAATCAAACGGCCAGTCACAGATGTGATGGCTTCCACACAAACCGCCAGCAGACTGTGAAAGTCACAT